ATATAATATAATATGTGTGCAAAGGAGTGTCAGGTAGATCTGCAGGAATCAACAGCTTCTCTTCATCTCGAGTATTAACTACATTTTCAGTTAGCATAGCACTACATTTGAGTTCTGCATAAATAGGTGAAAAACAACCACAAAGAGATATAAAGTGACCAAGGAGAAACTGAAAATGATTGCAAAGTGTGTGTTCGTGTGTGTCAGTGAATGAAAGATGTGTCAGAAGGCTCTGAATGCTCAGTTTGCAATTTTTTTCCCCAACTCTTTGATCTCTACGATGTCAAAGAGAGCAGATATCTTTAAGCGCTTGGTGACTCCAGAGTAGCTCGCTGGGTGTCTTGGCGCGGCTGCTGGCCTGCTCCCTTGGGGATTGTGGTCCAGGGTAGATTGGGCATCTTTGTCGCGCAGTTGGACACCCAGGGCTCAAAGTATAGAAACTTGTTCCCACTACTCAAAAATATATAAATAAATAAACCTAGGCAGAGCTACATAATATTTTTGAGTTGTTATCTCACAACTGTGACATACTAAGCCAAATCTTTTTCTTATGGATGGCAAAAAACAAAAAAAACAACCCAAAAATATTTTCAGTGGAGGAAACAACCTCCCATACAAGATCACCACTTCATTAAAAACCAAGCAAGCAACAGCCAATCAAAAGAAAACTTAAACAGAGAGCTAACATGGCTAGTTTCAGACAGAGCATGAACTTAGGGTTTGCACTAATATAAGAACTGCAAGACTTAAAGTGCTTTGCCTTGTAGTGTCGTCTTCACTGTAGCCTGGTACAAGCCAGCTGTCATGCAAGGGCGCTGCTTCAATGACCAAGTAGCTGCTTACTCAAAGAGCAGTGATGATGACTGTGTCATCAGTGTTTGGATCCATCTGCCTGTTTGCCCATCAGTCTCTTTATTAGCCTCCACAGTTTTCAAGATATCATTTTCAAACTCTGTGTGATGCTAGATGCTAATAAGAGCTCAAGCAGATTTAATTTTGGTGAAACTTGGATCAAGGTTAAGATCACACCAAGTGGCAAAATGAATAAAAACTTTGAGAGAGCTGAATAACACTCTTACAAAAAAGCTTATAGAATCCAATTCTGCTCCAATCATACTGTAAAGCTGCAACAAACACCATTTTAGTAATGCTTCGAGGTCAAATGATGGGGAAAAAGCTTTAGTTTTCACTGTTTTCCCCAAACTTTAAAGCAATATGTTAATCATTGTACATCGGTACAAATGAGCCATGAAAACAATCCAGATGTCATTATTGAGGATTTGCTGACATCAGCATAAAACATCAAAGTTTGAATATAACCCTTCGGGGGTTACTCTACAGCGACTGTAGAGTAAGTTGACCTGCATGTTGAACTCTGAGTGCAGCTGAAGCTCAATTTTTAGCATGTCCAGGGATCAGAAGTAGAGAGTACAAACCAGTATTTCTACTTCACCAATGTGAACTTGCACCAAAGGCCCCTTGTCCACCAAGATGAAAGCTGCTGTCAATGGTGGCATCTTTACAAAGAATTGTCTTTGGTCAGTCACTGTGATGTCTCATGTTCTCCAACAAAGTCCTTAAAATTCCAAATTCCTGCCTTCAGAGTCGGAGAGTTGGGTTTTAAAGAATGCGTTGACTCTGGTTAATGAAGCCAAGCCACGGCTTCACTAATTAGTCAAGTCCAGTAATGGCTGGAATCCGCTGTTAGTCAAAGCTGCCAAATACCTGATGGCTACCAATCATGCTCTGTCTTCATGGGAAAAATACCCACAATTTATTTTGCTGACTCTCATTTCCCCAATTAAGAGGGACAGTTGAGGGGCAGATCACTCCAGGGCAGACTGATTTTAGGTGAAAAAAAGGGCACACCGTGATCAAATATTTGCAATTCTTCATGTTTTTGGGTTGTTTTTTTTTAATCAAAATGCAATAATAATGTCATGGTGAATGTTAGTAATGAAACATACTGTAAGCATATGTGAACACGACATAGGTAATGTGTAGGTATAAGGATGAGGAAGAAGAATCTGTTTCATAACATAACTACTAAGACTTCTCTCAACAACAGTTGTCTTAAGGT